ACCTACAAGAATACATGTTACTTGAATAAGAGGACCCTTCATGTCATAACCCTTTTCAGAGAAGGAATAGTTAATAAAAGCTATCATTATAATTGAGTGGGTTAAATTTTTAAAGGAACTACAGTGCTCATTAGTTAAAAATTTATCTAGGGAACACTAATTCATTTCATACTGTGGGCTTGCTACGAGTCATACACCAATAAATACATTTTGATTCCTAGCTTCAAGCTCAGATGTCTGTGTGAGGGATATAGGGAAATGAGCATTACATAATCTTACAACTACAAATATCAAACTATGTATAAAACATTGTTGGAAAATCTAAATCTAGGCTCAAAAATGCTTAACAGAAGGCAGGTATGGTGGCTCATGCTTTTAATGCCAGCACTCAGGAGGCAGAGGCAGGCAGATGCCTGTGAGATTGAGGCTAGCCTGGTCAACACAGAAAATTCCAGGTCACCTGGAGCTCCAGGGAGGCCCTGGCTCAAAAAAATTCAAGAATGCTTAACAGAAAACATGTTATCTCGATGGAGTCTTGACAGATGAAAAGTCCCTGAGGTGCAGAGATCAAGGCAATGTGTTTAAAGGCTAGGGAAAAAACACAAAACATGAGACAGGATCTGTGCTGGGTTCAGGGTTCTGTAGATTACCATGGTCAAACAGGATGAATTTTGGAGTGGGGAATGATGGAAAAGAGTAAAGGCACTGGTGGGGGCCAGAGGAAAAAATCTAATAAAAGCCATTGAAAGGACCTAGGCTTTTTCCTGAGGTGTGGAGGAAGCTGTTGACAAATTAAAAACTCAGATGTATGAGAAATAGCCTGTTTATGGTGAAATTTCCAGTAATGAAGAGGATAAAAAAATACACTGGAGTCAGTAGTTGAACAAAATTAGGTCGGGGGATTAGAAAAAAGGAGACTCTGAAAAGTGGACTATTCAATAGGACTTGGTTGATTTTATTTGAGGTCTGTGGAAGGAGTTGTTAAAGATAACTCCAAATGTCTGGCTTAGTTGCCTCAAGATTTGGAGTATTGAATGATAGAATAGAGCAAAATTGGAAGAAGACTGTGAGCTGTTTAGTTCTAGGCATGTTAAGTTTAGAATAGTTGTGGATTGGAGTTTGTAATTTGGTAGCCATTAAGCATATAGATTATCCTAGCCATGGAAATAGTTGAGAACATCCAAACTTTAGGTATGCACTGAAGAGGGGTGAATGGAGAATGAATTTCTGGAGAATAAGAACTGAAGGGCCTGGGGAGATTGCTTGGTATATGAGACCATTTGTTGCACAAGCACAAAGACCTGAGTTTGAATCCTTAACCCTCACTTAAAAAGCGAGGTATATCTACAAGTGCCTGTAACCCCAGATGGCGAGCTTCTGGTGCAGAGAGAGACCGTGTTTCAAGGAAATAAGGTAGAAAGTGAGACAAGAAACCACTTCATGTCCTCCTCTGGCCTCTGAATGTGCACTTTTGGTTGCACACACCTGCACACTCATGTGCATGCACCATACACATACATACACACACAAAAAAACCCTCAAGAAATGGTTAAGGGAGGCAAGAGAAGACATTGGAGAATAAAAATCATGAGAGAAGAGAATCTCAAAGCAGGTGTGACAGCTCTGACAAATGTTTCCATGAAATCCTGAAAGACAAGTATAGAAAAGTGTTCACTTAGTATAGCAATTAAGAAGGTAGTGTGAGGAATATGGAAAAAAGCATTTGGAGAGTGGGTAGGCAGAAGAGTCAAGGGATTACAATGTGGTAAGGAATAAATGACAGAGGTGAGGATGTGGGAATCACTAATAAAGACATTTATTTTAGAAAACTCGGTAGTGGTTGGAATAGCTACAGAGAAATTCAAGGTCAAACAGAGGATAGTTTTTATTATTTTGGTGGGAGAGAGCCATTCTCTTTCTCTCCCCTTCGACACTGCAGCATGACATTGTGGTCTACAAATGTGTTGGGCCACATTCATAGCTATCCTGTGACACATGCAGCCTCCTGGCTGCAGGTTGTACAAACTTTCAACCAAACAAAACATAATAAAACCACTAAGGCTCAGAGAGATTCAGCAATTTTCCATGGTTCCATGGTTTTTAAGCGTGTTATATCCCAGCAGGAGTCTACTACCAGTGAAGAGACTGAAAATTAAAAAGAGAAGTGATTTTTAAGCTAACTTTTTTTGAGAGTGTGGGCTCAGTAATAAGACTCACAAAATGGAAATTTGAAGATCTAAACAGGCCTGGGCACTAGAAATCTGACAGGTGTAGAAGAGAGACTATAATACATTGCTAATTTTTATTGAGCACTTACTATGTGTCACATTCTGACTTAAATACCTGCATTATCTAATTCGCACAACAATCCTATGAGTTACTTTTATGAGGTAGTTACTATTATGTTCACTTAATAGATATTAAAATTGAAGAACAGAACAGTTAAATGATTTGCTCTAGGTAACATAGATACTGTGTACTAGATCTTTCCAAGCCTTCTAATGATCTTTTAGAGGAGGAAACTGAGGCTGAGGGAGGTGCATTAAATTTTTCCAGGCACATACATCTTATAATGCTTGAATTGTAATTCAGACCCAGGCTCTGTTACTAAAGTTACCACACTGTCTTAATCACCATGCTGTCATGAATGGAAGCTAGTAAAATAGAGAATATGCTTGTATTTTTCCAGATTCATTTTATAAGACAAAATGATCCTTGAAATTAGGTGATGGTAAGAATTTTCTCTTACTCCAGGAGATTGATAATGAAAACATGTCCTTTCTTACAGTGTATCACACGCAATAATGCGGCAGGGTATTTGTAGAAAGCTTTACAGTGAAAGCCGGGGCTACAAAGGAGCTTCTCAGGAAGAGTGGTGAGTAGGTGAGTTGTCATGTGACTTCTTCAGGTGGCTTCATGACTGCAGACTTTCTTTGTCCATCCACGGAGAGACTGCTCTGTTAGGGTGCATGAGCTCAGATGTCCTTCTTCCACCTGTCTTAAGATTTGCTAACAAGCTGTTCTGATTAACAAGCCATCAGCCCCATATTTGTAGACTATAAACATTATTCTAGTTGTGGAATGTGTATAGCAGAATGTGCAGCTAGGAGGAACAGATTAATTGCTTTCCTCCAGAGATGACTGTCTGTACAACAGAAACAATGTGTAGATCACGGGGAAGGAAGCAGATGGTTGTACTGCCTAAATTACCAGTACTGTGTTCACTTCTCACCACCAGGGTATTCATCCAGTGATAGGTTTCTTAATTATAGCTTGGTACTGGTTGTAATTTATGTTGTGTTGTTAATGTTTAATAAGAACATTATAATTCTTACTTCAATAATGCAATTTACAAGGATTTAGTTTTTTAATTTTGTTTCTTTTATACCCAGAAACCAACTTACCGTGTATGTATCTGTGTGAACTCTGAATTTGGAAGATTTCTTCCAAATCAATTTTTCTGTGATCAAGAAACTAACGGAAAGGAAATGAACAAAAACGTATGTGGAAAAGCAAATGTGAAGTTATGCTTTTATTCTAGTTACACATATGGAGTATTGCTAGGTACCAGGAGCTGTGCAGGCTAGCCAGTTCTAGAAAATGCAGCTCTTTCCCTTGAAAAATTCATTCTACATTTCTTCCATTGAACAAGTGATAGGAACCTGGCTTCCTCATCCCTGAGTGGTTCCTGAGCTAATAGTGTTCACTAGCACAGCCTAACAAGAGCATTAGTCTCAATACACTGAAGTAAAATTTTAGATTTTTGTAGCCATAAATAATAAGAGTAATAACTGCAACACTGATCTAGTCAATTGAGAGTAGAGGGAAGACACCGAAAAGTTCCAAAGAGGTGGTAAGTTCTGGATAGAGATGATATATTTGCATGGCTCAGTGAAAAGAGAAAGTAACTTTAAATCAGTCTAACATTTTAAACAGAGGAATGCCTGTTTGTTGTTGATGGGGGGGTGCTTATGGGAAAGGTAAAAGTAAATTGCATTCAGTACTTTTCTTTCATGCAGAAAGCTCCTTTGGCTTGGCCTGCGAATTTTGAGAGAGCAAAAGGGCCTGCTAGTAGATGTAGGGCAAAGAGGAGGCCAAATCACTGGCTTTACAAAGTGCAGAACAGCTATAGGGAAGATGGAGGCACCGATACTGTTAACTGAATAAATAAAGCCTTTCCTCTCGAAAACTAGATGAATAAAATATTTATCTGACATTAAATATTAACAAAGAATTAATGAAAATACCCTAAACATTTTATCTGCGCAGGACGTTTTTGCCCTTTTAAAAATGCTGTTTTAAATCCCAAAATCACTTCAGATGTGATTCAGGCAGAAAGTAGGTGAGTCTCTAGAGGGGTAAGTACTGCACAAAAGGTGATAAATGGACAAGACCTCCAAATGAGAGTCTTATGTCACCTCTTTTCAGTTCAGAGGTAAGAAAGAATAAGCTTACCAATTCTATGAATGAATGGATTGCTAGGTGTCAAACTTTCTCAGTGAGACCTAGCATTTCCCCAGTTTCTGTACATATGTGGGAAGAATAAGGAAAATGAAAGCCATTTGCACCAGATCTGATGTTGCCATTAGGCATACCCTGTCTCTGCTGAAAGGTTCCAATGGGAAGGATGCTGCCTTCCACCTGGCATTGTTTCTGAGTAGCTTTGTGAATTCCTTTGGGCTATTATGTTAGTTGGTACTTTGGATTCTTTGGCACCCAGCACTAGCTGATGCCTTTTCTGTGTTCCAGTTGGACAGGCTTTATCGCTCAGTACTGTAGCTGTCTCCAGGGCATTGTTCTTGAGACTTCCAACAGGGCAGATTTGTGCAGTTGGCCCATCTGGACAAGATCTATAACAAGTAGAGCTCTGTGCAATAAGCTCATCTCCATACTCCACCCCCTGCCGCTATCCCCGCCTTCGAGCTGCAACAGCCTGACACCCCAGCCCAACTGCGGATAGTATCAAAGAGATACTCTCTGATCCAGTCAAAGAGGTATTGCTTGTGGCCTGTTACTGATTGACAGTACCTGGGCAGAAATGGGAAAATAGGGGTTCTCTACCCTTTTCAATTCAATCTCCTCCTATAAACCAGATTTAAAATTTTGATTCTTGGCATGAGAGTGCTAATATGGCTAATAAAAATACTTTCCCCATCTGGATGTGGTAGTACACACTGCTAACCCTAGTACTACAGGGGCTGAGACAGGAGAATTATGAGTTCTGTGCTACCCTGGGCTGCAAGTAAGTTCCAGGGCAGCTTAGGATACACGGCAAGATCTTTTCTCAAAAAAAATGAAAAAAAAAATTTCTAGATTAGGTCCCTTGGCCACTCTTTTCAAAATTAATGGCCACAAGAGTATCTCAGTGAACAAGAACGCTCGGACAAGCTCAGTATGAAAATGGAGAAAGCTGAGCTTTTCCTTTGACTGTAGCATTTACATTAACCATTGAATTTACTGAGCTTCAATTTGGAGCACTATGTGGAATGAGATAGTAAGAGAGAGATGAAAAGGACAGGGAGGGGAGAGAAGAGAGGAGAGGGGAAAGAGAACAAAGGGAGGAAACTTGGGAAGGAAGGAAGAAAGGAGGGGGAGTGGGAGGGAGGAGAGAGAGATTGGATTACATAGTTAATTATTATTCTGGGTCTAGAAAAAAAGAACATGATGTTTTAAGAGATTATTTGTTCATGTATTCCAACTGCTATCCCGTACTTGAATCTCTTTCATCTTATTTCTTTGTTCTTCACAGTTGTGTCACTCACTTCAAAGGACTTGGTGTACCCAGCCCCATGTATCCCCATGCCCCAGAATGACATACCAACTCACTCTATTCTGACCTTCTGGTAGCTTTATCTGAGTCTTATAGACGGAGAAAGGGAAGCAAGAAAAAGGTGAAGAAATAGGTTGTATTTTGACTATCTAACTTACAGAACTGCTACCCTGAGACAGAACGAGTCAATGTCTGATCAGGATAGGGGCCTTCTACATGCCTAGTTCTTCCTCTGGATCTCTGAAGCTCACTCTATCCAGAACGTTGCATGGCACCATTATTTCCTCATGAAAAGGAGGTGAAGGACAAAGTTGGAAGGTCCTGGAAAACAAAGAGACTTTGGAGAAAAAGGAAAAAAGAAACAAAAATAATAATAGTCTCTCCAAAAATTGTTTCTGTACTTTGCTCTTCCTGGGTTTTCCTAGCTTGTGTCTCAGTTTTTCTAGCATCATCAAATAACTTTCTTAAGGACTAAGCCTACTCTCCCCTTTTTTGCTGCCCAGCAGCGTAACAAGCCCTGTGGCCATGCTAGTTGGTTAAGGATGAGAACAAATATTTCTGATACCAAGAGGCTGAGGTGGATCTGGAAGGGTAGTCTGTCTCAGGGTTCAAAATTGTTGCCCCAATTCTGACAGTGTTAGATTTCCCAGAATTGAGCCCCTCTTCTCTTGGGCCATGTAACAGGACCCTGTCCCAGTGCAGCCTATGACTAACCCATCCTTGAAGAGGTGGGGAGCCTTTGCCACTGTTTCCTGTCACTGTAAGGACACCTGACTGCATTGTTCAGGGCAGCATTTGTGGGTGGAAATGAATCCATGTTTGAGCTTGCAGTAGGAGGGATAGAAGTGCTGAGAAAAGGTCAGGCTCTGGGTAAAGTAGAAAGACAAGGAGTGATGCAGGTTAAGATGATAAAACAAGAATCCGGTAGTCTCAATATTCTTCTCTGGACTAGGGGAAAACAGGAACTCCAGCGATGACAAAATCATCTTAGCATCAGGAACATGGCCAAACCTCAGTCATGAGAAATAGGAGAGTATGGAGTTAGCCGGGGTGGGTAGATAAGCCATGTTTATAATCACAGCCTCCATTGACACTAGGGAGTATAGACCCACATAGCTTAGTGACTGGTAGGTAGTTGAAGTTATGAGTGGGAGATCAAGAGGGAACCCCTGGTGGAGATTTATGGAAGGGAAAAGCCCACCTGGGAGAAAGCAGGAAGCCAGCAGCTGGACTCTAGAGCCCCCACCCTATTCACCGTGCTTGGTGGATATCTTCTGACCGTAGAACTTTATAGATAACCCAGTAGAAGATATTGAAAATAAGAAAAGTGAAAGGGAAGACAGCCCTAGAGATGCTGTCAATTCTCTTAGCTCGGTCCACACAGAGTTTTCTTGGTGTTTCTCCCTCCTTTAGAAGAGGGGCTGGAGGCTGGGGACTATAAATGCTGGAACCTTCCATTGGACTTCCATCTCTTGCCTGTAGGCAGTGTCCTAGGCCATAGCCTCGGAAATAGAAGCGGCTTTCTCGTATGATGTCTTCTTCCTGGAATTACAAAAGATAGAAGGTGTTATTTGAGGCCAAAGTTGTAAGGCACAGTGATAAATGCCAGACCACATACAAATGTCTCATAGGTAATGCAATGTCGGTAAATGACTGGATACATAAGCCCACTGCATGCTTTTTGATGACCACAAAATTATTTGTGAGAAATATATATATGCTAAGCAGCTATATGCTGTACATAGGTTATATGCTACCGAGCTGTCTTTTAAATATTTACAACATCATTCAGAGCCATCTAAAACCCACTGATGTGCCAACATTTCAGTGTCCCATTATCTCTGACTGGTAAACAGAATAACAAAATCACCAGACAGTGAAGCTGAGATATCTAGACTTGGTGAAACTGACTGATGAATTTTAAAAGCTTTAGAATGTTTGCTTTGTGTATAGTGCATTTTTTAAAAGAAATTATTTTTTCTCAAAGCTGAAAACTCCAAAAGCTTTAATTGATCAACTGGGCTAGGCAAAGTAGAGTAAAGTTGATCATTCGTCTGCAGATCTGTGTGTTTCTTTGCAAATCAGCATATTTGACATGGGAGTCATTACATCTAGGGCAACATTTATTACCCAAATGTACATTCCATTTCTTTGCAATGCATGCCTTTTGATAGACACACTAACCCTGAGGAGGTACATTTTATGTACGAAGTAAGCAATGTGGTTGACTGCTGAAAGTCCATTAATCCAATAGTCAGCTGATAATCTTAAGTAGCTATAACACCGTTGGGAGGCAGGAAGTAAGTACAGAGAGACAGAGATAAAAGAAATGGAAGGGAGAGGAGGAGGAGAGGGAGGAGGAAGAGGAAGAAGAAGGAGAAACACTCCAAACCCTGAACCATCGTAGAATTTTACTTACATAAGAGGCCCTCAGCCCCTCCACCTGGAAACTTTATTATTCTCTCATTTTAGGGCAGATTTGAGAAGTATATTCTTCAAATAGAAGATGACTATAAATTTTTAAAGTATTGAAGATTCTGGAGCAGAAGATTCAGCTAAGAGATGCCTGAAATGAAATACTGTTGTAGTATGATTTCACATACAAACTCAGTTTGCCTAGAACTGAGGAGTTTCCAGGAGTCCTTCCATGCTAAAATTGGGAAAGTCCAAAGTAAACCAGGAAGGGTAGGTCACCCTAGTTACCTGAGTTAGTTCTATAAATTCTAAGAATAAGATCCATATATATTTTATGGGTATGACACACACATTTATATGTAAAATGTACATAAAGAAGATGTTAAACATTTTGTGTAGTTACAGGGACATTATGGGATCTCTATAACATGGACACAATGAAAAGTGGTTTTGTAGATGAGCTATTGGTGTGCTATGCCCTAGTAACCCTTGATTACTATGTCACCCCAAACTGACCTATTGTGAGGGCAAGCCTGGTAACTGGGCATCAGGGGCAAACTCAGGTCAGAAATTCATGAGCATACCCTAGCCCTTTCTCTGCTGTCTGCAGGCTCATGTACAGACTTGTTCACTACTGTATTCCTAATAACAAACACCAAACCTACAACGTAATAGGTACTCAGTAGATTTCTACTGAATGAACAAAAGGGCTGATGAGCAACATGCTTCAGAATATAAAGGAATGACTTTTTGTTCTTGTGATGCCAATATCCTGTCACAGTTCCAAACTGAAGAGTACTCAGAAGAGACTATCACTCAGTTATAAAATACTTGGCACTAAAAAAATGTTGTTTGTGATACCCTACACAATGGTTTAATGCCCTTTGGCTTCTAGAAAGGGAGTAGCACCTTTACCATAAGAAAAAAACTGAAGTCTGCGTAGTGGAAGCTTTGATGCCCTGTTCTTGATTTGCCAGGTCCTTACAGAAAATTGCATGTATATGTCAGGGTAGTTCACTATTGTGATTCTTCTTCAACCCTGAGCTCTTACAGTGTGGCAGTCTAAAAGCTATGCTCTGTTATTCTCATGGCCTCTTTCATCAAAGACCTTGACTAATTCATGTGTATTCCATAATTCATTTTCACACCCTTTCTACAGTGGAAGTTTGCTGGGCCCACTTTACAAATAAAGAAACAGGCAAGCAAAATATCTCACAAGAAATTGAAAAATGAAAAGGGTAAGTAAAATGGTTTTCTCCCTTGCATTCTAGTTCAGGATCCTGTACCTCACTATTCACCAGCTCCCTCTTCCCCCCAGCTAGAGGACACAACTGCAGAATATGTTTTGGAAAAAATGCTCTGAAAGAGAAAGTTAGGTCCAGCTGCTATTTGTGTTTCTATAAATCCAATTATTTCCCCTTTTATCCAATAAACCTGATGGAAATTATTTGGAAATATTTCCCAGGGTAGATAAAGTCATTTCATACAGAAGAGAAAATATATCCAGTAGAGTAAGCTGTTCTTGGCTCTTTTAAACTTTAATATGTATCTTTTGTGGCTGGTGCAGCAAAGATGAGTGGCCAAAAAGTCCAGGGCAAGGGGGCTTGGGTTTGGATATTAGTGATTTAAGACAAACTGAGGGTGTGTGTGTGTGTGTAATGTGTTGGGAATGGACCGTGTGCCATGAAATAGCACTTTGTGATTTCCACAGCTATTGAAATGGAGGTGCAGTTTTCCCACCTATCAAGAAGCAGAGTGCTGAGAGGCTTCAGAGAGAAGACAGACCAAAGCTAAGCTGGGGAAGAAAGGCTCAGTGTACAAGGCGGGGAGTGAAAATGGGAGAGTGATAAGTACTGAAGTGGGGAAAGTGGAAAGAAAAGAGATTGAGAAGGAGACCGGTGCTAGTTGGAGGGTGAGGAGGCGAACAGAGTTCTGAGAAGATTTACTAGTATTTTGAGATTTTTTTTTCAGTTTTCAAGTTATTCTACTAATAATTGCAAGAATTTCTGCCTATCCACTTTGAGAGCCTTTGCCCATCAGCCTGGAAGAGGGGGCTGAGACCTACTGGGATGATGGAAAAAGAAATTCACCCTTTCCTCTGAATCTTATAGACCAGCTGGGAAGGCAAAGTAGAAAGCCGTGCCAAAAACCACTCATCATTTTACACAGTGACATGGAAGAAGATCATCATGTAGTAGAAACAGGTGGTTGGGGAGCTTAGAATGAAAGTGATTAAGGCTGGAGCTGGGTGAGCAGTTGGCTGACTCTTAGCAAACTATGGGCTCCTGAAGATCACAGGGTTTCTCCTCTCCATTGGGTTTTTCTGAGACTAAATACTTCTCCTTTAACTGGAACATCAAGGCCCAGAGAGAGTAGAAGAAGATGAACTATCAACTTGTTCAGCCTGTTTGGGGCTGCCAGGAGTCCTGGATAGTTCCCCTGGGGTGGCAGTAGCATTAGGAAACTCAAGAAAGGGACACGATTAATAGCATGGGTTTGCTTTTCGTGTTTTATTCACAGTAATAATAAAATTTGCCCACTTTCAGGTAAACCCCAGGGTCCTAAGCAAGCATCAGGCTGCTGCTAAGCAATTTTGTAATAATGAGCACCATGACATACTCTATTATGACCTCACTGTTAACCTGCATATAATCAGGGAGCAAACAGAATATAGGCAGTAGGGGGCTGGATGGGTGCAGGGTAAGAGGTAGGACTAGCATCAGCCTGAGTAGCTCTATAGTAACGGTAACAATCTTTGTTGCTGAGACATCAACATAGGCACTTTAGCTTGGAAAAGAACTTTGGACTGTTTGACGGCCTGCTCTTCTTTTCTAGGTAGGAAATGTTAAAATACCAAACTCAGAACTCATACGAAGATAGATTTTAGTACCTGAAGACAGGTTTGACCCAACTAAAGAAGGGGTTGGGACACTTGTCTTAGAAAAGGGAGCATCCTCGTTTCTTTCCCTTTGCTAGTTCTGTGCATGTTTTTCTACCCTCAGTATGGTTAAGGAAAGGCTTGTCGGTCTCTAGAAATGAGTCTTATTCAAGGAAATGTAGTTGTGAATCAATCCACTAGAGGGTGCACTACCCAGAAACCAAGGAAAGAACTAAGGAGAGGCAAAACTAATATTCAGAAAAACCCCTAAATATAGCAGGAGCCCTGCCTTGCCGAGAGAGGACCCATATTAAGGAACATGAAACCATGGAGATAGGTTGTATGATATTATTAGAACAGGCATATGATAGGGGTGCCTCGGGAGCAGCTGAAAAGGGAGCTGGGTGTTAGGAAGAGCAAAGAGTTCTTGTATTAGTGTGGCAGGCTAGAGGCAGGATGTGTGTGTGTGTGTGTGTGTGTGTGTGTGTTACTTTGGCTTGAACCCAAGATATGTACATGCTAGGCAAGCATTCGCCGCCAAGTTACAACCTCTTCTCCGAGAGCCAAGATTTTAACAGTTGACTCAGGTTTGTAGTCTATCCTCAAGAACTAATTATGTGTTTGGAATTTTGGTTTTGAAGTTTCCAGATTAGGCAGGAATCATGGAGTCAGGGCTCGAGACACTGTGTCTGAAGATTAAGCAACCAGTAGCAAGACTTTCAGCTTTGCTCATAATTGGAGCGAGCTTCTCTCAGGGTAGACCAGGCACCTCTGTTGTCATGGCAACTTACCTAGTGCTATTGTCTGGGCAATTGAGGGTAAACTGCTTCTGTTGTCATGACAACAATTTCCTCTTATCTCTCCCCCTGGTGATCACTCTGCTGTGGAAGAAATGGGGCTAACAAGCAAGAATGAGGAAGAACAACACCTCAAGCCCAACAACTCTGAGTTGCCTGATGAAGATCAAGAAGAAGCCCCACAATCAGAAGAGGCAAGTAGTGATCTCTCTATTCCATTGCAATATGGGGACCATCTCATAATGCTCCCTAGAAGGGAACCAGTTTCTGACTCAGAGTTCTTAGTAGTAGGACAACTTGAGATACCTTCCTTCTGAATGTGGGCCAACCAGAAACAGCTAGTACTACTTCTCAAAGCAACACCATATGAACTAAATTAATAAGGGTCTAATACTGGCTAGCATAGTTTAAGTGCTTACTATGTGCCAGGCACTGTGTCCACACTCTCTTAATTCCTCTATTGCCTAATAGGGGTTAATGTTCCATTAACTGGGACAGAACCTGAGAGATGAAAGTATTTAGCTTAACTGTCCCCAGCCTGGGACTAGAATATGGGACTCCTGATTGCCCAGTCCTTGAGCCCTGGGTTGGATCTTTGTTTGTGGGAGGAGCAGTAGGGGATGGAGTCCAGGAGTCCAAAGGAGAAAGGAAGTGGGCCCCTCCCTATTGGCCCTCACCATGCGTTGGCGCCTCTGCCTTCTTCGAAGTCTCATAAATTCCTTATGCTGACGAGAGACAAAATTGACAGCAGCGTACTCCAGCAAGGCAGCGAATACAAAGAGGAGGCACACAGCCATCCAGATGTCAATTGCCTTCACGTAGGATACCTGCAACATCCATCAACAGACCAGTCAACCTTCCTGGAGTCTTTCCATGGAGTATCCTGTGGTTTTCCAATCCATATCGATTGCCTCCTCTTGTTCAGTTTTATCCTGAAATTCCCATAATTTTTGAACAAGTTTGCCATGATGTGTACCTTTACCTGAAGGCCTATGTTAAACAGATTGGGCTACCCATCATCCTTCATCTCTCTGCACTCTCTACCTTCTACTTTTACCAGCCTTTCCTCCATACTTTACTTTTCCTTCCTTTCTTCATTCTTTCTTGTCTGTTTTACTTTCTGTTTCTTAATATTCATTCTGATTCTTAAATTCTTCTGATTCTCTCTCAATAAATAGCAATACTCATGATCATAATATTTGTCTGCTTTCTCATATCCCCTGTGTTTCTCATAGCCGTGATGAGTAGGCAGGGTTCGCAATTCCCATGTGAGGTGTGTGGAAACATTTAAGATGCAGAGAAAAAGGATCTTAGTGAAAATCACTCAATAAGAAGATGGTACTAGGACTTGGGAGTTCTGGGTTTTCAAGCCAGTAGCCTTGCCATTTACCCAGGCTGCAGCCTCACTGGCAGATTAAGAGCACCTTCATTCCTGCTCTTCCATTAACCCTGTGGATTTTTCTGCTGCCTTTGCAAGAGTCCCTGCTGAGGAATTGAGCTCAGCTGTGAGCTAAGGAATCATCTCTCACCTTGGAGAGAAGAATGGAGGAGAAACCCGAGGGTGCACCAGATAGCCCTCATCATGACACTTCATTAATTTCAAGGCACTTTAGGCATCTACCTATCAGATTCCTAGTGCTCTCTTACTACCTGCCTTTGGCAGCCTTTAAAAGCTTTTCTCTGCGACTTCCCTGGTGAAAGTTGAACACTGACCTCTCCTGGAACAGGGTACAGGTAGATGGGTCCAAGAGGAGGGACAGAACTTCAGTTTATTGATGTCTTTCACTTCACTGGATACAGTGACTCCCTGTGTAGTTTTGAGTTCACTCCATGAGCTCCATAGCAAGAATAAGGTTCATGAAATAGGGCTTTCAACAGGTTATGGTATATTTGACATTGAGGGAGTTACAGATCCCAGGTAAGGAGAAGCTTCACTGGATAAATTATCTACCTTGCTGGCTTTTTGTGGTACTAGAGATTTAACTCATGACCTCATACATTCCAGGGAAGTGCTGTACACTAAGCTACATCCCTAGCCTCCCATCTTAGTGGCAGTTAACTGGGAAAAACTGTCCCACCCACAAGAGCATTTGGCAATGTTTGCAGAACACTTTGGTCACACAATTTTGGAGTGATGGTAGCAAGTAGCATCTAATGGGGAGAAGATAAGGATACTGCTAAGCATCCTCACATGTACAGTCCCTCCAGCATATACACAAACACACAGGCACACACGGACACATGCATGCACGCGCGTGCACGTGCCAGAATGATGCACCCCGGCTGAAGTGCTAAGGTTGACAAACCCTGCTTTGGGGATCAAATCCACTGAAAGGATGGTAGTAGGTTACTCAGTAACTCTGATTATGAATTCCTTGGTGTCTCTGCTTTGCCACCTACTAAGAAGACATCCTATTTAATTTTTAAATCTCTAAGCCCCTGAGTCCCCAAGGATGCCAAATACTGGTTATGAAGGTCAGTAATGAGGTAATGACAAGGGATGGTCATGAGGGCTATAGCACATGAACAAAAAGGATCCCTTACACATCTCTGCCTTGCTAATGATGAATGTGTCACTAATACATTCCTGGAATGTAGCTCATCTGGTGGATGGCCAAGTATCTCCTCTTACCACCTCCAGTCTGCTCCCCAGAGAGCAGACAGACTTGTTTTTGTTTTCAAAATGTAAATCTGAGCTGGGCATGGTGGTGCATGCCCTTAATCCCAGTACTTGGGAGGTAGAGGCAGGCAGATCTCTGTGAGATTGAGGCCAGCCTAGTCTACATAGAAAGTTCCAGGCCAGCTGGGACTACAGGAAGACCCTGTCCCAATAAGACCTGCCCCCCCCAAAAGAACAAAATGTACATCTGAACGTCTCACTCCCCTCCCTGCAACCCTTCAGAGGTTCTTCATTATTTTTGTGAACTAGTATATGTTCCACTTAACATGGCCTTTGACCTCTGCCCATCTCCTCAGCCTCATTATGACCCTTGTAATCTATGATCCTGCCACTGTGGCTCAATAGGTATTTTTTGTTTCATTTCGTTTCATTTTATTTCTTTTGTTTTGTTTTGTTGAAACAGGGTCTCACTATGGAGCCCTGACTGATCCAGAACTCACTATGCAGACCAGGCTGGCCTCTAACTCACCTGCCTCTGCCTCCCAAATACTAGGATTAAAGGTGTATGCCACCATGCATGTTTTATATATTTAAGAAGCCAGTCTCCTCTCCTCTCCTCTGTTATTTGGATGACTTGCCCTTCAGCTTCCAGTTTTGCTATCACATCTTCTGCGAAGCCTTCTCTGATCATCCTAGTGTGTGATGTGCCCAGATTACCCATACATCCTTTATATTCCTCACATATCTGGCCACTCCACCAGATTATGAGCTCTTCCATGTCAGAAACTATTTTTATGCTGTTTATTGTTCTAACCCTAATGCCTAAGTGTTTGGTACACAATAAATATTTTTAGAACGAAGAAGTGGATGGAAGATTTAGCAAAATGCTTGCTGTGCTGGGCCCTCCTTGGTGTCTCTGCCCTTCTGTCCTCTCTGCCTCACAACCTCAGGGCTAGATTCTGATATAGGGTCTAGCGATGTGGACCCTTCCTCCCTGCTGCAACTTTTATCTTCAATCTAGCTGCTGAGCCTCTAGCAGCTGTGGAGATCAAGAGCCTGGGAGAGACATGATCAGTGCCTTCGGGGGCCCCCACAAGGCACTGAAGGACTGGTTTCGTGAGAATGTGAAAAAAAGGCCACTCCAACTGAGTTCCCTTACATAGAAATCCTGTCTTTCATCCTAGACAGTAGAGGTATGTTGGGGGGTGGGATAGTGTTACTGTCAGAAGCTCTGGCCTGGGCTTCTGAAGCCCCCAGTGAACCTAATGTTGCTCAAACTCATGGGTGAGCAGGAGTTCCCTGGCTTGCTGAGTTCTTTGCTCCATGGGTTTGACTAATGAGGCTACTCAGTTCAGAGTATATGAATGCCTGGATAATTTGTTTACTGGCCAAGGAGACTGTAAAAAAGGCATAAAACTATGAGAAGGTACTAAGTGTTGCAAACAGCATAACAAAGTCCATTTTTTTCCAAATGAGGAAAATAAGTAATTCCTAGGAACAGATGGATTATGCTCACTCAGGAGGGGACCAGAAAAGGAAGTTCTCTTGGCAAGAAGGCATAAATTGTAGTATGTCCCTGGGTTAGACAAGAAGGCATAAATTGTAGTATGCCCCTGGGTTAGGAAGCATCATCCTGCCTCGTAGAGGCAATGAACTGGGACAGGCTTCTCAATACAGTGCTCCCTTTCTGTCTCTGGTCCCCATATATGGCCACTAAAATAGTGTAATCATCACAGCCCAGGGTGGCCCTGTGGGGCTCATCTAAGTATAGCCTGCCTCTAAGAGCCTCATCGATACACCTGTCCATGTAGGTAACACATACAGGAAGTGATCCTTGACAAATTCTCCTCAGGTACTTGATCCTGAACTGAACTTTACTGCTGTTATCCCTACTAGGGGGCTTTGGAATAACTCAGAAATTTCCCAGCAAATGAAAAAATCAGTGGAAATACCATCTACTTTATTCCCATATCTGTTGAGTAACTCTTGACACCTGCTAATTATAAAAATAATTAGCATTTATTGAGCGGCTATTATGTGCCAAACACTTTCCTGTATGTTAATATGTAATTTATCTTTCACAATAACTCTATGGAAAAGGTAGCATTCTTATCCTTATATACAAGCAAGGCAATTGAGAGACACTTTACCTAAGGTCAGACTATTAATAAATTATGGGACTTGGATTTAAAGCTAAATCTGCCTGACTCCAGTCTCCTACACTTAATCCCTACTTCCCACCTCCTCTAGAGCAAATTCATAAATTCACCATCAGTGTCCCAGATTACCCCCTGCTTAAGTCTCCAGTTTTAAAAAAAGTCTTATTAGGAATAAGCAATGGGAGATAGGAGATCTCAGAGACTAGTTCCCAACAAATTAGAATAAGGGAATACATTCAAGGGAAGATTAATTATTCTTCTATAACCATATATAGTAACTGATATATAGTATGTGCTCAATAAATATGTACTGGATGAAAATTGGCTTCACTCCCTGATTTGCTTAGAGGTTTGCTGACCATAAAGACTTTGAGGTAACCTTTAAATTCCCTTCATGAAGACATGAGACAGGGAGTGCTGTTCCTAGTCCTATCAGCACAAATTTTTCTGCATAGTCAAAACATTATCAGGCCCCCAGATGATCAGAGTCTTTAATTGCTTATTATATTTGCAACCTGAAAATATTCTCAACCACCTAAAATAAACACTGTATCTAGAGCTCTTTGTGATAGCATCTTGTTTTCTACTGCTTGGATGTTTCTGGTCAGCATGACCTTGAGAAGGTCATTTTACCTCTCTGGTCTGTATTCTCATCTGTTAAGTACTGCCTCTACAAATTCACTAGCCAACACCATGCCTACCCTTAGTCTTCACATTGTTGCAGTACTGGAGAAGACAACATGTTGGGTGCCAGCTATTATATACTCAGACCTTGCAACCTTAAATCCAAGGTAAACAGTAAGCAGTGGGGAGTACGAGATGAATGGGAAATAGGGAGCTTGATGCCAAGCTTGGTTCCCTTGCTTATCTCTTCACCTTAGGCAAGGAGGCCCGGGAGCCAGAGCTCTGGGTTGTCATGGTGAGGACGGTAGTGATGCCGAGGCCTACACGGGCAGGGGCAGCATCCATATTGATCCAGAAGGACACCCAAGACAAGATGACAATGAGTAGGCTGGGGATGTACATCTGAATCAGATAGTAACCCATCTGCCGTTCCAGGTGAAACTTTACCTCGATGCAGGTGAATTTCCCTATAAGAAAAGAAGTGTTAGACTCTAAGTCCCCAGCCTGTAGCTTGGCCTGAGGGGTGGAGGGCAGGAATAGTGCAGCCCCATCTCTGTTGGTCCAGCCTCTGGCATCCTCAGCTAAGCCAATAAATGATACTTTCAAACCTGCCACAGGTAGTACCTGATGTATGTAGTTATAAAGCTCTCAAATTTGCATGAATTGCCTTCTCGTTCCTAGCACTTTAGCTTCTAGCACAAGTTCTTTCAAGTAATAGTTACATTAGGGGGATAAATAGTGAAAGAGGGCCAGAGTCAGACTATTGGGGTTGAATCTTGAACTTTCTATTCAATAGCTATATGCTCTTAAGCAAATTGCCTGAGCTTTTTGTTTTGTTTTCCTCTTTGTTTTTGAGACAAGGTCATTTTTTGTATCCCTGCATGACACTGAACGTGGAATTCTCTGTCATGCCACCATAAAAGGCTCCACCCTAGATTTTTGAACTTTAGTTTTCTTACCTGAAAAAATGGAGCAGTTAAGAAAATCAACTCCATCCCTGAGTTGTTAGAAAACTTAAATGAAATAATGTACTTGAGATTTTGAGCACAGTAGCTGTTTCAGTTGTTAATTCATTAAGACAGCAATTAGACTTCACTTAGATCTTACTGTTGTTCCTTGCTTGCACTTGCCCTCAGTCTAGAAGCTTCTAGCCACGCTGCTAGAATAAACACAGTCTGTGTCCTAAGCAAGTGAGAGGAGCCACATAGTAGACATCTGGAAACAACACCCAACAGAGATCGGCTCTGAACATTGTGCAGCAGGTTCCCATAGAGTATCAGACAGCAGTATTCTGTTCTACTGTGAAGAGGTGCGTTGAGCCCAGGCTCATATCCTAGTGTTCTTCCTCCCTGACTTTGCTTTCCCTGTCTCCCATGGCTCTGAGGCTAAGAAAGCAGTAGCTTGCAGCTTCTCTCAGAACCAGAGGCTTGGATCAGGTATGTTGGCACATGCCCTTGGTCCCAGAACTCGGGAGGTAGAGGCAGGCTGAGATCGAGGCCAACCTGGACTATATAGCAAGTTCCAGGCAAGGCAACCCTTTGTCAAAAAGACCAAAAAACGAAGCAAAACAAAAAAACAAGCAAACAAAACAAAAAACAGAGGCTTGGGATAACCAATAAGAAAAGGACAGGATTTGTCCATTCTCTAAGTATCCATTGGATGATTGGTTTCAGGACCACCTACAGATACCAAAATTTGAGGATGCTCAAGTCCCTTATAAAAAATGGCATAATATTTGTATTTAACTGTACTCCTACATTCTTTATGTTTAAATTATTCATTTTTTATTTTTTGTCTTCTGTTTTTTGTTTTGTTTTGTTTTGTTTTCTGAGACAGAGTCTCCTGTTGTAGCTCCAACTAGCCTGGTACTCGCTATGTAGAGTAGGTTGACTTTACTCTCAGAGAAATCTGCCTGCCTCTGCCTCCCAAGTACTGAGATTAAAGACATGCACAACTGCGCCCACCCAGCAAATTACTCATTTTTAAACATTTATTGTTTATTTTTATTTGTGTACATGTGTGTGTGCATGTGCCACAGTGCATGGATTTGGAGGTCAGAGGACATCCCATGGGAGTCATTTCTCTCCTTCCACCATGTGGGTCCCAGGAATTGAACTCAAGTTGTCAGGCTTGCAGTCTTTACCCATGAAGCCATCTCACTGGTCTTAGAATACTTATGATCCTGAAATTCATGTAAATTCTATGTCAATACTTGTTATACTGGATTTGTTAGAGAATAATAACACGGAAAAAACTCTGTACATCTTCAGTACAGATGAAATTTTTGTTGAATGTTTTTAATCTGCAGTTATCTGGATCCTTGAATGTGGAATCTGTGGATATAGAGAGCCAACTGTTTTGCTATTTTATTCTGATCCAGGCTCAACTCTTACCAAGAGTATCTGATTATTCAAGGCCAGTGCTTTCATCAGTTACTGATTGAGGTTTGACATGCTATGTGATAGTCTGGCCTGCCTACTTTTCTTTGAGTCTACCTCCTGTTCAACATCCTGGGCTTCTTCCTATGACATGCCTTATTGTACCCATATTTCCTTTCTCTTCTTTCCTTCGGTTCTTTATTATAATAATAGTTTGGGTTTAAATTATATGAGTAACATGTATTTGGAATAGAAAAATGAGAAGATAAGGGATAATAACACTCATAAGCTTATACTTATCAAATCAGTACTAAGTGGCCTAACTGTATACACTTTATCTTATTTAATCCTATAACAACTTTTGGGGCTATGTGATAGAAAAATGAGAAGATAAGGGATAATAACACTCATAAGCTTATACTTATCAAATCAGTACTAAGTGGCCTAACTGTATACACTTTATCTTATTTAATCCTATAACAACTTTTGGGGCTATGTGAAATGATTTTCTCCCCTATTACAGATAAGTAAACTGAGGTATAAAGAAATAAAATTGTTTCTCAAGTATACCCAATTAGTGTACACACACACACACACACACACACACACACACACACACACACAATAGCTAGAGTCAAGTCTTTCTGACTCCAAAGTTCTTCCTTTTATCCATTGTATCATACTACTTTAGAGACATTTAGTGCTATTATTTCCTTTCATGTATTTTAAATACATGTTTTTGTTTTGTTCCTTTTGTCAGAATATAGTCATGCTGTGTATTCAACTTTGAATCTTAACTTTTTTTCCATTTGTACTTTCCCATGCAGATATACGCACCTTGACAACATCCTGCTCATGACTGCCTACTATTGTACCAAGCAGGCACACTGTGTAATTCACCTCTGTCCTATTGGTAGATATTTAGAGCAATTCTAAGACTTTGCTAGCATTAACAGCAACACCATGTTTCCTGGACTACCTGCATCAGAATCCTCATGATACTTCTTAAGATGCAAATTTCTAGACATCTCCACAGCATGTGTGATCAGAATTTCAGAGAGTTGCAGTGCAAGAATCACTTTTAAAAGACTCCTTGGGGGAGGTGGATGATATTGAATACTAAAGCTTGAAAACAGTTCACCTGCATACAAATTGCCAGTCTGCCCTCCCAAGTTTATACCAATTTCTACTCCCATCTGTATTTTCTAAACTCAAGGTCTGTTTTTCTCTCCATTACCACACAGCTAAATTTCCAGGAAAATGAGAAACCCATAATTCTTAGGAAAGATGAAAGGGGTGGATACCCAGGCAGGCAAAACAACTCCTCTCCACTTCCTGGGACATATTTTTTTAATTTAATTTTTGTATATTTCATACAGAATATCAATCTTAATCATCTTTATATCCCCTTCCTCACTGGCACCGTCCCATAGTCCCCCCCTCTCCCACTGGAATTCATACATTCTGTCTTTTGTGTTAAAGCACATCTTGGCCTATATTTTGTACCTGGGAAAACAAGACAGTTGGGCAGAGGGGGACAGTGGTGTAGTAACTGTGGGAAGTGCAAATGGGAAGCTGACTGCTGCCCTCCAGCCTGTTTCCTCTCTAGTTCAGCACAGTTATAGACCACTCCTAGATGTAGATTTCCCTGCTCTCATAAAAAAATTGGCCCTAGGAAAAATGGGACACTTTTGCTCTTCATTGTCCCAGGATCATTTGCTCTGTAGCATGTTAGAGAGAAAAGAACATGGCCCTTGGGGTTAGATCTGGATTTGAATTCCAAATCTGTATTTATTAGTTGTGTGACAATTTAGTTAAGAACATGGCCCTTGGGGTTAGATCTGGATTTGAATTCCAAATCTGTATTTATTAGTTGTGTGACAATTTAGTTAAACTCTTAGAACCTCTGTGTTTACTTTCCTTGTCAAAATTTATTTTATAGTTATTTATTTGCTTTGTTATTTATTTGCTTTGTGTGTGTGATCGTGGCCATGCATGTGCTACAGTGCTCTTGAGGAGTCAGTTCTCCCCTTCCACTGTGTGAATCAATGGGGTCAAACTAGCTGTAAGCTTTGGCACCAAGCGCCATTACCTACTCAGCCATCTTTCCAGTCCCTCTGTGTTGTCTTTCTGAAAATGATGATGGTAACCTCTACCGTGATGAAATAAGATGTAGGACACATGTAGCATCATATTTCTTTAATTGCGGCTCGAATAGAACCCAACTGCTTTGTCCCCTTGTCTCTCATCTGGAGACCCTTGGGTGCCTCACAGACAGTACAAAGCCAGATTCTTGATTCTTACCTGTGTTGTAGTGCTTGGTACAGTAACCTAGATCTTTCTCATCCCGCAAGATGAATTGGGGGAGGGTTAGCCCCTCAGCCACTTGGACAGCAGGAGCATCTTCTAACCACCCAAACATGAGGTCATTCATCGTGTAGCCAACTGCAAGTGACAGATATATCAAAGATTTGTAGAATGTGGGTTTTCAGTAGGGGTAGAAGTGGAGTGAACAGTTGTGGAGTGACATATGGACTTTAGAAATGATGTGCACATCTTGGAAAGGGAAACACTTCTGAAGAGTGGATTTAGTTGATTGTCTCATGGGTCTGAACTAAGTGGGAAAATCATGAAGATCCTAGACTCCTCTCCTGTGTAGCTCTCAACTTTAGAAATGCCTAGAGAGAAATTATTCTGGCCGACCTAGAATGCAGGCCAAGAGGTTTGGAAAGATGTCAAGGACCCCAGCTGGGAACCTCCTGCCATATCTTAAGCCCGGAGGAGTAAGCATATGTACCAACCACATGTCTTGAGCTGAGCCAGCTTCAAAGCCAGGACTTCTGCCACTTTACCTCAGGGAAGACAGAGCTATTTCTGTCCTTCCAGTCATTCATGGGGGAATATGCATAGCACAGATTCCTAGCCAGAGACCTGAATTGGGACAAATTGAGAGTTAATGGCTGAACATGCCAAGTTGCTCACAGATAGCTGGCAGTTCATGCCACATTACAGGACTATATTCTCACATGTCAGGGGAGACCAAGGTTTGCAGAATCTAGCATAGGGCCCACTGGACCTGTGTAACTTCAAAACAAATCATTTCCTCTTCTATAAAATGGGTCTAGTAGATGCTGCTCCACTCATCTGTCAAAGTTAACATTAAGGGATAATTGGAACATGCATGTAAATGTGGTTTATGAATTCTAGAGTGTAGACCACACTCTCTATCAATGTTACCACATACTAGAAACAACCTTAAGAGCTTTCTTCTCTGAGGACCTTGCGGATGTCTCCTGGTCTTACAGTCTCACCTCACCTAGAAGATAGGTGTAGAATGAAAGTAGATGATGGCCAAGCCTTGCCATGCTCTGATTTCTCTGCACATGCGACAACCTGTACAGGTTGACACCTCTGGTTCCCATCTGTAGGCGCTGTCCTATGCCTGGAACTGTCTTTGCTTACTTTTCTGCAATCATTCACCGTATTCGTGGGGAAATCAGAGTTACAAGGTTACCCCTACCTTTGTAAATATGGGCATTTTTAGTATCTTAATTCTGGAAAAGTAAAGGTAACATGATTTGCAAGAAGAGACATACATTTGTATAGAGGAATCACCCTTCACATAGTCCCCCCATGGCCAGCATTAGCACATTTTATTTTTGCTTTTATTTTGTTTTGTTTTGAGTTTTGAGACAGTGTTCTGGTTTATTTCTTCATTGCTGTGACAAAATACTCTAACCACTACCAACTTGGGGAGGAAAGGGTTTATTTAGCTTACATATCCTGGGTCACAGTTCATCCAGGAGCCCAAGGTAGGAACTCAGGGCAGGAACCTGGAGGCAGGAGCTGGAGCATAGGCCATGGAAGAACACTGCTTACTGGCTTGCTCCCCTGGTCCCTGCTCAGCTTGCTCCCTTATCCAACACAAGACCACCTGCCCAGGGGTGGCACTACCCACAGTGGGCTGGGCCCTCCCACATCACTCACCAGTCAAGAAAATGCCCCACAGACATGGCCACAGGCCAGTCCAATGGAGTCAATTCCCCAATTGAGGCTCCCTCAACCCAGGTGTGTCAAGTTGACACTAAAGCTATCCAGCACAGACAGGGTCTCCCTGTAGCCCCAGCTGTCCTGGAACGTGCTATGTAGGATGTAGACCAGGTTGGCTTCAATCTGAAAGATTGTCCTGCCTCTGCCTCCTGAGTGCTGAAATTAATGACATGAGCCATGACGCTCAGCTCAGGAGCACATTTTTTATAAGGCTGGAGCCATTTTTCTCCCCTAGCTCTGTGGAACACACAGCACAGCAAGCGGTGTGGGAGTTTTAAAACACTGGGCTTGGTGTCAGGGGACCTTGACTTCTAGTCTCATCCATGACAAGAATTGATTATGTGTGCTCAGGCAAGTCCCTCTTCTGTCTAAAACAGCATGGGACGGTATTAAATAGCTGTTACTCCAGGCCTTGCTTACTGACTCAATAAAGATACTTACAGCTTTCCAACTGCATTGTGCAGGTCTGGATGTCCATGGGGAAGTTCTTGAGATCCATTGGGCAGGACAAAATGAGGGTCAATCTGGTGGAGACAGTAAGAAAGTAATGACATCAACTTACTGGGGTCTAGTACCTCAAAGGAGGTACCATCCTCCTATCCCGCCACCTCCATCTGCCTTCCTTCTCGTGGTACAAACTCTCCTGATTGTCCACCAGGTGCACCTGATGCTGTAGAGCACATTCCCATTCTTGAAGATGCGCAGTAACTTGTTGTCTGTGGTCACCTCATGGAAGTTGGCCCCTTTCTCATTGGCAAAGAAGAGGTCTGGCTTCCAGATAGAGTCAAGCATGGAGGGATCTAGATCCAGAGAGTCATCAGGATATTCATGGTAGGCCAAACGTGGGTCATTCCACTGCTGCCTCAAGAAGACATTCACCCGGTAGTCCTAGAAGGTAGAAAAGAAAGACATATCAGAGGCAGTTCTGTGACATATCAGGGCAGGAGGTCCATGAGGAGGAATTGCTGGAGGCATATCTTAGGGGAAATAGGCATTTTCCAGTGGAGAAGGAATCTGCTTTGGCAAAGATGGGAAGAAAAGAGACATTTATTTAAATGACTATTTGTGCCAGTCTCTCTTTTAAGTAGGACTGGAGGTTGAGCACAGATCCTTGGGCATGATAAGCAAACAATGTACCACTGATCCACCTCTTCCAACCCTAAGTGCTTTATTTATATGTATAATCTCATTTAAAGTTCACATCAATCTTAGAAGAAGGGTGTTTTCATGATCTACAGTTTGTGCAAGGGTAACAAGGACCAAGAACAATTGAAGCCAACCTGTTAAACAGAGTTATTAGGTGATGGAATCAGGATTTGAATTCAGGTTATTCTGATTCCAAAGCCTGTGCTCTGCATTAAGGTAATTCACCTTTTTGATCATCTGCTGCTTAGGCTAGTTTCTCTTTAGCCATGGAAATCCTGGGCTAAGTATAATATCCTTTCACTGACCAACTTCAGGTGTCACACAGCTTTAGCCATGACCACAAAACAGAAAGAGGAAAGAGGAAATGCTTATTTGGTGAGTTTCCCTGTTCACACTGGAATGGAAGTAGGAAACAGGAAGACCCCTTACCATGGTAGTCTCAGTGACGGAGCCGAAACTATTGATGAAGATGTTGCAGGTCACATTCACAGGTGGGCCTAGGGGTAGCAAAGCATAGCCCATTGACAGGACATTCCAGAAGGCTAGGTGCAGGTTCCAAGACTTGCTCTCTGAGCTTCAGGCCAGGCCACTGCTGGGAAAAGACTGACAGCTACACAGACCCACAGACAATAGTGGAGCTTTCTGAGATATAAGACCTAGCCCTGGACTTCTAGCCTTCTTTCTTAAGGCAAGCCAACAAGAGCTGGCTAAGTACTATGCCACTAAAAATAGTAAGCATTGGGAGCGATTTAGTACATGAATGTTTCTTACCTTTGAAATTAGGTCGAATCCTGGCATCATATCCAGATGTTCGCCCCATAAGCTTGTCCAAGAAGTCAGAGGGTGACATGGGCTTGGATCCTTTGGGCCCAGATTTGACATCCTCTTTTGCTAAAGCCACACTGGACAGAGAGGGAAAGATGTCTGAAGACAATCGTTTTCTGCATTTATCAGAGACTGTGCATTTGTATCCCTGTCCCCATCTCCCCTTTGCCACGTCTGCCCATCATGTAGGAAGTAAGAAAGGATGAGTCTCTGAGTAACAATGTACTAAATAAGGAGAACAAAACAGGAATGAGCCAATATGACAAATCAACAATCGTTCTAGAAAGAGCCGTCAAATAGATTAGATCCTTTTACCCTCAGTTCTCAATGGCATGTGGTTAGAACTGTTATCTCTATTTTACAGATGAGAAAAAGCAGTCACTTGGCCAAAATCTCTGAGCTAGTGAGTGAAACTGTCAGGACTGAGACACCGGACCGAGGTCCCATCTAATGCTCCCTTCCTGAAGGTGGTTTGAAAGAATTCAAAGAATAATAATGATATTTCATCCAGTATGTTGCAATCTGACCCAAGGATAGGAGGCACTTTAGGACAAATTGCATCCCTGAAAACTGGCTCCAGTGACTCAGGCTTCATGTGAGACTGCTCAGGACATGGAACCCTCCTTCTAAAGAAGGAAGCTTGCTTTCTTCCATTTCTTTTTTATTTAAAAATTCATTTTTATTTTTATTTTATGTGTATGAGTGTATTGCCTGCGTGCATGTAAGTGCACCTGTGACATGCAATGCCCACAGAGGTCAAAAGAGGGCATCAGATCCCCTGGAAGTAGAGTTACAGATGGTTGTTAGCTGCCATGTGGGTGCTGGGAACCGAACTTGGGTCCTCTGCAAGAGCAGCCAGTGGTCTTAACCACCGAGCCATCTCTCCAGCCCTTCTGCCATTTCTTATAACAGGAAGCTATGTTTAAGTTCAGGGCCATGGCCACTACAGGCAGATGAACCCAACTATGGTAAGTATACAGGAATCTATGATCATGGACCAGTTTCTGAACAAGGTAATCATGCTGAGGTTAACTCCCAAATTCCCCCACCTAACAACTTGATTTGGGAGAAGGGGTCAGTATGCTTTGGCCTGGGATAGAATCCAGCCTCTTTTCTCCTATCAAGATTCCTCCTAAGAGGACTGAGAAGATATCTCAGTGGATAAAGTGCTTGCTGCACAAGCATGAGGGCCAGAGTTTGGATCCCCAGCACCCAGGTAAAAGCAGGGTGGGTAATTCTAGCACTCAGGAGGTAGAGACGAGATCCCTGGGGCAAGCTAGATAGTTAAACTACTGAAATTGGTAATCTCTGGGTTCAGGAGGAGACACTGCCTCAACATATAAGGGAGAGAATGTTTGAAGAAGGTACCTGACATCAACCTCAGGCCTCCACACACATGCATGTGCACTAACACACGTATGCCCACACACATACAAATGTTCATAGACATACACGTTTCCTTCTAAGAGCATCAAAGCCTGTTCCACATACGCATTTACCAACTTACTGACATATAGACCAGGCACCAGGGACTCAGCAAAGACTTGGGAGCACGGATAGATCTCAGACCAAACTCAGGCCAGACTCCTGGCTGGACCAGATGCTTCCTGCTGCATCTTTCTGTCTGTCATTACTGTGCTAGACAGGGTAGCCATCTCCACTGCTGCTGTGACTGCTGTGGGGCTGAGCAGCAGGGTAACTGCTGCCTTTCTGCATCTTGATTTTTCCTGAGCCAAGGGGCCCCTCTTCTTCATTAAGACTGTGTACCAGCCAGTGACTGGTGGAATAATGAAAGTAGCTAAGGTACCATACTAAATGCTTCAGAAGCCTTATCTAGGTTAGTTCTCACAGAGGTCCTCCCTGATTATCTCTATCACAATTGACACTCTATATCCACAGGGCATTGGTTCCAGGACCCCCTACATAGATAAAAAATATGTAGATGCTTAAGTCTTTTATATAAAAATGGTGTAGTCTTTGCAATGACCTATGCACATCCTCCTGCATATTAGTAAATCATCTCTGGGATATAACACCCAATGCAGTGTAAATGTTACAAAGATAGTTGTTATACTATACTGTTAGAGAATATGGACAAGAAAAAGTCCATGTATGCTCAGTAAAAATCCAATTTAAAAATATTTTGCATCAGTAATGGTTGAATCTGAAGATGTGGAACCCATGGATATGGAGGGCTGGGCTGGCTGTACATAAATCAGAAGACTGGGGGTCAGTAATGTGAAATGATTTCTCCAAGACCATATAGCTAGTGAGTAATAATGCCATGATTCAGAGCCAGAGAGCTATTGACTTCAAGACTCAGTGTGTCTATCACAGTACCATAAAGCAAGCAGCCCAAGGTGAGCTGCTGATGAATCAGAATGAGGAAAGGTCAGGGCCTGTCAACTGTACCTAGAGATCTGCCTCCTTGGATCCCCAGAGCAAGAGGAATCCCTTACCCTGAGGACAGAGGGCACCCTGACCCCCTGCAAGAGTGGCTGAGGCAGGTGGCTTAAGTAGGCTGTGGAACTCCAAGGAGACTGATTGTGATGCTGGAGCAAGCAGAAGTCTTTGGCTTCACCACGGGATGTCCATGCTAGCCAGGTGCCTCTGCTGCTGCTGTTGCTACTGTTGGTCATCTGCCACCTGCCTGCTGGGAGGGCACATTGTCTTGCATACAAAGCAAGCAGACCTCTCCACTGTCCTTAGCCCCACTTAGGTCACCTCTTCCCCTAGTCCTAGTCCTAGAACTCTGGAACAGGCTGTGACTCATCTGTCTTCAGCCCCAAACCCTGTTGTGGTCCCCATTCTTCTTGAATTAATCTTGTCTGATGACCTGAGAATAAGAGTCACTTTGTTTTTATTGAGACAGTGTCTCCCTGTAACCCTAGCTGGCCTGGAACTCTCTATGTAGACCATGCTGGCCTTGATCTCACAGAGATTCACCTGCCTGTGCCTCTGGAATGCTGGGATTAAAAGTATATGCCACCACACTTGGCAAGAACCATTCTTTGAAACCACCCCTTCCTCCCATTCCTGGAAAGCTCCAAACACTGGCAGAACCTAGAAGGATCAAGAACTCACAGTCCTTTTTTATACAAGACCCTGGACTTGTATGAGGGGAGAACTCTGACTCAGTAACTGGGTATTCCAGCAACCTTGGGAAGGTCAGTACCTCTCTTTAGGCTTCAGTTTCCATATGTAAAACAAGTGGCTTGAATTTAGGGCTCTTCAAGTTCATCTTGCTGTAATTGCCTCTAGTTTCTAAGCACATGTGGAAATTCTACTACTGGAGCTTATGTCTTGAGGTAGCCTCCCCTCTACCAGGGCAAGCAAGCCCAACTGAGTGACTCTTGGTGCCCATTATGTCCCCATCATCTTGGCACTGCCCACTGGACAGCTGTTCCACTTGGAGCTGCTTTTCACTCTTAGGCTTACTTTACACTCTACACCCCTTCCTGCCTGCCATTCAAAATGTCTGCAAGCACTGGGGCAGGAAGCTCCTCAGAAGCAAAGCACTCCTGGATGCATCTTGGATTAAGAGGAGGAAGAAGACACTGCTGTGGCATTCACTCCTTACACATTGGGAAATATTCCACTGAAGACCAGTTCAGTCCAAGCCATAGCCATCTTTCCTGCTCAGGATACCCTGTCTGCCTAGACTGGCTCCTCTTACAATGAGTAACTGGCAGTTGATGAGGGGACATTTACAAGGAGCTCCAAGTATGCCTTGCCTGCAGACCTAGGAAATAACTGATACCTGGTGCCCCTTGAAAGACAGTGAGCACCCCTGTATACACAGGCAGGGTGATTGCAGAAAGGCAATGTTGGGGCAGCCCACTGCGATCTTGGGGGCAAACCTATGCCACCTGAAGGCTTTTTGACAGCCATCTGACAGTTGTTGATGTTGCTGTCATTTTTAGGGATCAGTATATGATCCAACTGATAGGGTTGTGTGGCAAGACAGATGGCTTTCATTTTAGGGTTCAGCTACCTAGCCTCTACCCAGGCCCATGAAATTTACCCACGCAGAAGCCCTCCCACAAGCACTGGGGCTCTACATCTGGCTGGACAGCTCATGGGTGCTGATTGGGGAAGGTGTGTCCTCCCCTGGAGCCCTGCAGATTTGGGGGTTTACTGGGGGGGGTTGGTTTTTTTAATTTTTATTTTTTTTAACTTAGATGAAAGTGTGCCAGCTATCCCAACTGCCCCCACCCCAGTCAGGGTTCACATGCATCTCCTTCTCACCACACTGAGCTCACCTGAGGAGGACCTGCCCTGGCAGGGTCCAGAGGAGAAGGAAGAGGGTTGCAGGAACAAAAGTTGTCATGCCGCAGGGACCTTGGAGTCCTTTCTCAGCCTGGCTGCCAAGGTGAGAGTGGATATCCCAGAGGAAATGCCAAAAGTACAGAGCCCTTCAGCAACTTGGGCCGGAGCAAGGAGCCTGTGGGGCCAGGCTAGGAGTTGTGCTTTTTCCTCTTCTGCCTCTTCTCTGCCCTGTCCTTACTAAGTCAGGGACTAGAACTGTTCCATTTAGGGGCTACAACTATTCCCCTGGAACTGAACCTGACACAGATAAGCCTACCAGCTCCTGCTTGAGCTTGCCTTGGGCTATGGAGGGCCTCAGCCTGCCAGCCAGGGAGCCAGAAAAGATCCCTTTTGGGTAGCAATCACTCTCCAAACCTTGGTGGGAAGGGAGGAGGGAGACTGGTAGAAAGATGTTCCCCTCCCTCCCACATCCCCCTAGATGCACCCTCTGAAAGCAGCAATTTAAAGGCACAGTCACCAGCAGCTGGAGTGGGGTTCCCAGATTGTCTGAGTACCAAGGAGGAGCTTGAGCTGCTGCTGCCCCTTGGGGAGAGCCTGACGTGTTAGGTCCAGCCTCCAACTCTCCAGCTGGAGGAGCTCCCACACATAGGCAGGCATGCTACCCCCATACCCAACAGCTTTCTTTTTAGACTGAAGTCAAGCTGGTACCCAAGAGTAAAATCTTCATGCTTTTTCTAAGGGGAAAATAGCTCTGAGGGGTTAGGAGGAGCCACAGGGTATCCTGAAGATGATAGCTTCAGGTCAGAGGGAGCTGTGGAGGAGGTTAATGGTAGGAGCTGCTTTTCTGTACCCTGTGGGTGGAGACACAGAGGATGAATGATACCCAGAAACTTTGGAGCCCTCCTGTGTGGCATGTCTAACCCACAGTCTGTCCTCTCTTTGCCCAACCCTATCCCCGTCCTATCCCCCTTAATTCCAGTAGTTGTATAGTATCTCTCCTGCTTGTTTACTTCCCTCAGGTAAATTTCTGTGGAGCCTGTGGATCTTTTGTAGCTTTAAAAATCTGTCCTCATTACTACCCCTTCTTCAGGCCTGCTTGTGAGAAGGAAGGACTGTCCTGGGTTGGGGTAAGGGTGGAACATGGCTTTGACTTTGGTTTTGTGTGCTTGAGGGAAATGACAGGTGGGAACTGGGGAAAGGCAAATGGTGACCTAGCAGCCCCACAGTTCTGGATGGAAGAGAGAGGGAGGGAGTGTGACATGGCCTCCTCCCTGTGTTTTACATGTTTGCCTATGGCATTCAGGTACTTAAGGCACTCCATTTTTTCCTGTCCCCCCATTTTCCTCCATGTATCATTTAAAGAAGCTCTGGAACTTCCCCCAGTGCTCCTTCATCCCTCCATTCCCCTTTCCCTTCCTCCCTTCCTGTTTTTCTCTCCACTGTCCTCTCTCACTGACATTTTCAGCATCTACCTTTTTTTTTTTTTTTTTTTTTTTTTTTTTTTTAACCATTTTCAGCATCTCCCTTTTTTTTTTTTTTTTTTTTTTTTTGTCTTTTTGAAGCAGTGTCTTCCTGTAGCCCCAGCTGTCCTGGAACTCACTATGTAGACCAGCCTGGCCTTGAACTCACAGAGCTCTGCCTGCCTCTGCCTCCCAAGTGCTAGGACTACAGGTGTGTGCCACCATGCCCGGCTCACATCTACCTTCTTTTTTCAATCTCATGCTCCCTCTCTGTTCCTTCTCCTCCATGTCTCACCTCCTGTTTCTGTCTCCTTTTGTCTTTCCCCATCACTTTCTATTTTCTCTCTAGCTCCCAGCTCCCAGCTCTTATTCTGTCTTGCATTAGAGCAGTGAGAAACCAAGGGTTTTCTCTTCTTCAGTAGAAATTCTCCCACTAGCTCTGCTGAGTTTGAGTGTGTGCTAGGAGAAGAGGTCAGTGCCACTTTACACAAGTCAGTTTGTCAGCTAGCTGTAGCCTCCCCAGCCTCACTAGAATGATTTGTGAAGACTGGAAGCTCTTCCCCAGGGGTCCTCTTGCCTATATAAAGGGATTAATAACAAGGCATTCATGTGTAGAACTTGTGAAACATCGCCATTTTGACTGTGTTATTATTAAGGAAGAGGAATTTCATCCAAATTAAAGATGAAAGCTAAAGAAGAGAATTTTGGCAAGAACAAATGCTGAAATATTGATGAGTGAGCCAAGCTTTTGGAACTGCGACTGAGAATGTTATATGCTTCAGTGCTTACATGGTGGGTAAAGCAAAAAAACTAATTATCCTAGCAGTATCTTTAGCCATTCTTTCACCTGTTCAGCCTTTCTCCTTATTTCCTTTAAGCATCACAATCCCCACTCCATAGTCAGGGACAGATCCTTATGGAATCTCTCGGAGCAGAGCTCCAGGATGGGGAGCTGAGGGTGGGGGTGCACTGGTCTCCTTTGTGTAACTCTTCCTGTCCTCTGACAACCCTGATCCTGCCACTTCCCCTGCCTCAACATTATCCCCCTCTTTCTCTCAGGTTGCAGGACAAGACCCTGCATAATCTGGTCATCTTTCTCATTCCTCTGATTTATCTAGAGCTGCCTGTTCTCTCCAGGTTTGGGATATTTTCACATGTTTCCTACAAAGTACTCTACCCTCTCTTCTTACCCATCTGGATTATTGCTGCTTTGTCAAGGAAGACTTACTGCCCTCCTCCACACACACACACACACACACACACACACACACACACACACA